ATACAATTAAAGTCCCAGCTCAATTGCAATTCATAACGCGAAACATTTATTTAATTTAATATGATTCGCTGTGATATTAAAGATTATATTGTACTTTAAAGTGCATGGTCGGTTATAGAATCAACATGAAATGGCTTTAGGCGCTATCTTCTCATATTTATGCCTCTCATTTTACTTTATCGCTTTTAGTTTTTTTTTTTCGTTGCTGTTGTTATTTGCTGTAATCGAACACATTTGTATGGACTATACACACATTTTTTATGATTTTATATCTGCCTTGCGCTTCTCCACTTTCATCTTGTGCGTGGGTGGATGTGTTGTTTTATATTTTGCATATTATCTTCTTAAACGAATTTAATCGATGAGAATTAAAATTTGTTTCAATTTTTACTTTCTGAAATGAACTGTGGGACAAGGAAGAGGGGGAACCAAAACTAGGAGCTTGTGTTACTTGAGAAACTAGCTAGTCGAACTTGTTAGAAGTAAAGGCTTGAAGCTTGTCATTAATTGCGTTTTGATTTTGTATACCCCCCCCCCTCCCCTTTCCCTCCTTGTACCAATAATTTCTGGAACCTCAAAGAAGTCATAAGCTACTACCCGATTATTAAATTCCTCGCATTACTTCAAAATTTTTAAATCTTAAATCACCGTGTTAATAAATCCCCAAAACATTTCTAAATATTTTCATGCAATTTATTCATTCATCATCATCTAATGTGCTTCATCATTACTTCTTTAATTCCACATTAAATAATTTTCGCTTGCGATTAATTAATTTAATTATTTCTAAAAAGTAAATGTAAAATTAATTCAATTTATCAGCATGAAATGATCAAGAAAATAAAAGCATGAGTAACAAAATTGAATTTCAAATGCTATAAATTTTGGGAGAAAAAAGTGCCATCCAAAAGAGATTGCCTTTTATTGCAATACGGTCCCGTGCACACATTTGAAGAAAAGAAACATAACATGACACATCACGGAATTATTTATGACTTGATTTGACTTGACCATAAGAAATATGTGAACACATTATGCGATATATGCTCTAGTAATTGTGAGTTCGTCTTAAAGAAGAAAAAAAAACTGTGCTTCTCTATGATCGCTCATTCGCCTCAATGCCTGGGCGACGTGTACTGTTAATGAAACAAAAGTGATGTCTTTTAATTAGTTGATGGACTCACCGAAACGTAACTGGTGCTTTATCGTTTATTATGTGAGTCTATGTACTCACTTGCTGCTTGTAAAAACACTTTACTGAAATTTATTTTCTTATATTTTTATTTGCGTTTTTTTAAGCTATTCATCAAATCATGTATATGAGGGTATGAGTGTGTGTGTATATGAAAATTGTAACGGGAAACCTATGTGGTTTAAAAGATATATTAAATTTTTTAATGGCCTTTTATATTTAATCATCAAATTAGTGATCTAAATTGATGCAAGAGCCATTAACATTATGTTATTATTATTTTAAGTATTTTATCAAATCACAATGATTCAGGTAGATTTTTTTTTGAAAGATCTTAATGAAATTTCTAATAACTTATAAAGTGCTTAATTGAGAATGTTAGAAATTTGAATATTTCTACAATTTCTTGTTCTATAAACCACAATTAGGGACTTAAGATCTGTGACATCCAATGGTAATCACAGATCTTAAGCCTCCAATTTTTAAAACTCATTTCCAAGGCACAAGTGACAGTTTCAGCGCAAAAATAGACCTTAACTTAAAGTATTGTTGATGCTCGCATGAAATAAATGTCTCAACATAAAATGGTACTGTATACTTATATCCATCAAGACAATTCCTGCAAGGCACAAGCAGCAACAACACCAGCAAGACAAAAAAAAATGATTCAAGGTTTCCAGGTGGATATAATCACAGGCCTTTTATGTATAATACAATCTTTATGAAATATGTGTCACATTTAACATTATAATAAATGTAATTATATGTCTCATACGTACTAGTCAATACTTTTGTGTCTTATGTTATTTGTTGCACGGCAGTCGATTTGATTTGTTTTTTCATTGTCAATTCCGGCTTGTCGATTTACTTGTAACTGCTGGTGCTGCTGTGGTTGCGGGTTAGCTTTTAATGTTGCAATTTTTTTTACAGTTTCTAATATAAAATGATTTAAATGCGGATAGGAAAAAAATATTGAAATGGAGACAGAAATAATTTAAAGAGATAAAGAGCGACGTAAGCAACTGAATTAAGTGTATCAGTAATGAGATTTTATAGCTGGACATACAGGAACAATTATTAGCTGTGGTTTCTGAAAACAAATTGTGTTTTGATGATTGAATATGATTTTTGGAGTCAAATATTGTTTGCTAAAATTTAGAACGATTAAGTCTTACTTTAATATATCAATATAACAAAAAAATCATCATTTTAAGCACATTCAAAATTTAAATTAAAATGAAACTATCAAGTTTCATAAGTTCAAATCTCAATCAATATTGATCAACAATCATCTTTAAAAGCTACTTGTTTCTTCCTTTTTGCACATTTTTTCCACACTCAATTTTTTTTATTTCACGACACAGAAAAATGCGAAATGAAAAATTATTACAGAAGATTGAAATTAAATAAATTATTAAAGACCTCCCCTTTAAGCAATGAAATTGAAATTTACAGCTTGCCTGACATGTGAGTATATCTCCTTGTTCTAAGCACAGCCAAGCGGTCGTTGAGTCAGGTTGTAAACGCTTTTAAGTAAATTTATTCCGGATTATTGAGTAAATAATAATTATTAAGTACTATAAATAATCGATGACAATCGACAGTTCAGTCTGTCTCTGTCTGACACAAGTAATACTAGATGTTGCCAGATGAGATATCAACAATAGTGATTTTTTTTTTGAGAAATAAAAATATTTTATTTTATTTCGGAATGTACGCGATTATTGAAGGTCACATCAAAATGACATTTAAGCAGGCACAGTACGCTCACAGAAAATATATACACATAAAATTATTATACAGACCGTAAAAAATTTATCGATTAATTGTCCGTATTGAAATGTTTATGAAAAAAAAAATTTTTCTTGTTGTTGCTAAATCACCAATGGAACAAAATAATTGTTCAAAATTGACGAAAACGTAAGACATTAATTATTGACATTCAGCGATCAATAAGTTTTTATTTCTGTACGTTTACTTCTCACGGCAGAAGGAAACATTACAAATTGTGTGACTCTCAGTGATTTTTTTTTTTTATATTTTATATCCAAACTTTTAATTTTTCTTCTTGTTGCTATTGCCGTCATTATTTATGATAGTGTGTGAACTATAAATAATCTCTGGTAATTTTTTTGCATTTAATTTGGGCACGCTTTTCAAGGGGGGCCTTTTTATGATCAATATGATTATTCCTTAAGGTGATGGAATCAAATTATTTTGGGTCAATGTCTAATGTTGATTAAGGTGATTATTTGGATTGAGTATTTGTAATGGTTTTAATATTGTCGTGTCACTTATGTGAGGAAATAAATTAGTAAAATATAAACTTGATAAAATTTGATGAATAAAGGTTTGGTTTTAATAAATTTCTTCAGTTTTTAAAAAAATTAAAAAAAAAACCAAGAAACATTAGGGATCGTTCACTGGTGACGTCTATCAAAAACAAAAATTTCTCTGGATCCCCTTATTAACGTTCAACGTAAAACTTCAATATTAAGGTTTTTGTTTAAAACGTCAAAAAATCTCAGTTCCCTTTTTAGACAAAATAAGCAAATGGCCCCCTTTGTGGTTTTATTTTCTATATCCAACCATGTAAAATCAAATATTCATGTATTCAATTATTTTAATATTAATTATTTTTTACAAATGAACCTAGACAATCTTAATTGCATAAAATAAACGTCTTTCAGACTTATTAATAAGCCGCAAAAATGACTCATCGAAGACTATTAAAATTATGAATATCGAAACATTAACCGAGAGAATAAAAATGATATTTCCTTGAAACAATATCAGCTACAGTTATGCCTGTCTAACTGATTCAAATCACACGCAATTAAATGAGACTCTAAAAATATTTGTTTTTCTATTTTTCTCGTCTCTTTCTATTCAATCGTGAATTGTTTAAAATTTCAACGGTATTTAACGAATACATTGAAGTAAATTTTCCCCCTTACATTTAATAGAAATTAAAAATATGGCACAAAGTGTAAGAAAAAAAACTCGATTAAAAAGTGACATGTGTGGCTCCATCATCATCATCGTCGTAGTCGTTGCGTCCCATCGGAAACATTTTATAGTACAGATCGTTTATGAGTAGAGAGATCATATTTGTTGAAGAATTTAATAGCGCATTTTGTTGAATGTCTTGTGGAGTCGTTTAAAAATAGTGTCTGACTTTTGGGGATGTAGACCTTAAATGAAAAATAAAAGAATTTGAAACAGGCGTTAGTTTAATAGTCCATTTTTGAAGAAATTATTAAGAAACCTTCAAAATTTTGAGAATTGGACCAAAATATTTCATGCATTTATTTTTTAAAATAACCACACTTCACATCTAGTCTGTCTTAAGTAAAATCAGTCAAAACGAGACAATATAAGTTAGAAATTACTAGATTCCAAAAAATCCAGTTAACTTGAAATGAAAAAGTGAGGAGAGAGAATTGAAATGAAATAAAACACATGTTTTATAATCGTACACAATATGAACAAATTTCATTTTATTTTTCTGCACAATCATCTTCACCTTTTTCGAAGAATTTTTCGATCTACAAAATTTTGTTACAAAATCTCTCAATTTTTTATTATTGCCTCATTCAGCTTGCGGGATTTTTTTCATATGCAGCGTTACAAATTTTATTTTTTCAGGAACACATGACATGTGAAAATTTTTCAAATGTTTAATTTGATTTCCTTTTTCTTTTTCATTGCAGATTAAAAATAAAAAGAACTAAGGAAAAAATCAACTTTTGACTAATAGAATCAACCAAAGCTGAGACGAGAAAGACAAACAAAAAAATCATCGCCGATGGTAATGTCACCAAGTCGTCAACTGTCATCACCAGATTTAGCAAACCATCCAATAAACATGCATTTGAGTCAGTTGCAACATTCACAGCTTCAACTTGCGTCTCAAATGCACCAAAAATTAGCGACAGGACTGACACCAAATCATATGGGAAGTGGATTTTTTAAAAGTCCATCATCGTCACCAAATAGTAATAATCAAAATACTTCAAATAATATGAACAATTCAAACAGATCGCCGGCATCATCGCCCACACGAGACTTATCATCACATCCATTAAATAGACTGCAGAATATGCAGCCATTCGATTTTCGTAAGTTAAATGCGGCGCATCAAATGGGACTGAATCCATTTACAGCTGCAGGTATGCAAACACCAAAATTTAGTCCAGAAGCTTTGCATCAGTTGCAGCAACAACATGAAGAGCAAATGAGAAAAGAGAAAGAAAGACGTAGAAATTCATCAGCTTCAGATTCTTCAAACACATCAGCTGGAAATTTGCCGGCAAATTTTATGAATTTATCAATGGGTCACTTACCATTTCCTATCCCACCAATGTCACTAGCTAGTTCATTAAATCATTCATTAGCCGCATCGCTGGTTGCTCAATCATTTCCAAATTTATTGGCATCAGCAAAAGCAGCAGCTAATGCAAATGCTCCACAACATCACACATCACAATCATCGTCAAAGTCTGATCATCATTTACAATCACCAAAAAATAATGAGAGAATAGATATAAGTAGCACAAATCCATATGACTTGGTAAAATCAAAGAGCTCAGACATGGATGTGTTAAATTTAAGTCGTGGCAGCAACAATAATAATAAGTTTTCATCAAAACATACAGAATTGTCATCACATTCACCGCCGTTAAATTCAACATCAATGTCATCTCAGCAGCAACATCATCATCACAAGTCACAGTCACCGCCAAAGCGACAATGGGGAACAATACCACCAAATTTGGGCATTCAATTTATTAATCCCAGTACTGGAAAGAAGCGTGTTCAATGTAATGTTTGCCTTAAAACATTTTGCGATAAGGGTGCATTGAAAATTCACTTTTCTGCTGTGCATTTACGTGAGATGCATAAATGTACGGTTGAAGGTTGCAATATGATGTTCAGTTCCCGACGTTCACGCAATCGACATAGCGCAAATCCAAATCCAAAGCTTCATTCACCTCATTTGAGACGTAAAATATCACCGCATGATGGACGAAGTGCTCAACCACATCCAATGCTTTTACCACCTCCTGGTTCACTTCCAATGCATCCATTCAATCCATTTCCACTTCTTCCACCAGGTGATTTACGTCATCAGCAGCTGGCTGGTTTAGATTTTAAGCAAAACCTTGAAGTCTTGAGAATGAAAGAGCATGAACATCAGAGAAGACAGCATGAAAGTCGTCGTGATAATTTTGAGGAACAAAAGAGCATCGAAGCACTCCACAGGTTGTCAAGGGCTGATAGTAATGACAATAATAGCAACAGCGATGATGAAATTGAAGATGATGATGATGACATTAATATTGACAATGGAATTAGTTCCGACTCGGATGATGTAAAACCTAACATGAACTTTATGCACTCCCCAATTGATTCCGAATCTTACGGAACTAATCGAGCTGATGATGATCAACCTCAAGATTTTAGTCTCAAAATGAGTAACAATAAATCCCCATTACATGATGACATGATAAATGGTGCTAACAATGAAAGCAGTAATGAGGAATCGACCTCAACTGATCCACCAAAGGACGAGCAATTAATTGCTTTAGCAAGTCAATATCATTCGAACAAGCGTAAACGTAAAAATCAAAATCCAACAAAATGTTCAATGTCACCGTCAACTGCTGTGAATATGATGATGATGATGATGGAAAATGATGAGCATTTATCAAGTGATGAAATGACGAAAATTAAAAAAGAGCCAAATTATGATTGTGGTGATGGAGTTGTGTCTCCACAAAATAAGAAAATTAAAATCCATAATGGAATTGATGGTGCTGATAGAAGTAATAAAAATGACAATCATAATGTCATAAAATTAAAAAAGGAACCAATTGAATGTAAGCAGGAAGAGGATGATGGAAATTCTGATGCTGAAAATGGAAAGTCTCAGGAAGAAGATGAGAATGGTACTTTAAATTTGTCAATAAAGAATCGAGCAAATGGTAGAAGTGATCAGTCACGATCATCAAATGATTTCTCGAGTATGAACAACGATAAGCTTGATAGCAAGTTTGAGAATTTCCATCAAACAAGCACAACACTAAGACAACTCGAGCAAATGTCACAAAATGCAGGTGCTTTCAATTCTTTTATGAATGGCAATAATATCCTCGGTCCGCAATTCCCACCACTTAATTTTCTCATTAATAACACACCGCCAAGTCCAGTCAGATCACGATCACGTACCCCAACACCTGATCGTGAACGAGACAATGAAGAAAATCGATCGCCATGTTGTGAGCATGGAATAATAATTGAAGATCATAATGGAACAAAAAAGTGTTCAGCATGTGGCTCAAAATCGCAACTTTCAAACGAGCAAATGTCATTTGTCTGTAACATTGACGGATGTAATGCAAAATTCCCAAATAAAAGATCACGAGATCGTCATAGTTCGAATTTAAATCTTCATCGAAAGCTTTTATCGACAAGTGATCGAGCATCACCAAACACTCAACTTAATCCACATCATCATGCAGCCGTAGCAATGGCTGCTGCAAATTTTGACCCTAAAACATTTGCCGCCTTTCAAAATCCATTACAGGCGGAATTACTAGCAAGACTATATGGCGATCCGAGAAACTTTTCAATGAAACTTGAAGCATTAAAAAGTCAATTGCCAATGGTTAACCAACACAATTATCAAGAAGCACTTTTTAATGGACCACATCAGAAACTTCAACAGTCGGCTGCGGTTAATAATCCATTTTTGTTTCCCCATTTAGCCGGACTGCCAGGCTTTGCATTTGCATCACATTTATTGCCACCGCAACTGAATAATTTGACAGCTTCATCTGCTGCTACATCGCTCAATAATCGTCTTACACCGCGCTCAGATTCACCATCATCTCCACCGTCATCTGCAAATATGAATATGCCTTCACCACAATCTCAACATGATGAAGATTTTAGACGTTCCGAATCGTGACTACCAAAAAATATGTCTAATAATAATAATAATAGTAATTGTAGTAATTCACTGTTGACTTTTCGCAATTCGCTGTTTTTGAAAAATCTCTCGTGAGACTACAACGATGATATAGAAAATATTATAAAATAAATTAAATGAATAACATTTGGGCAAGATCAAAAATGAATTGTTCGTGACGCTTAACAATAATTTACAATTTTTGAATCAATAATGCGAAATATGTATTTAAGACTTGTGTTTTTCTTAAAGTCCTTGCCAAGAGCTATATTTTGGTGTATAACAAGTATCTCTTAGACATTGTATTATAATTAAAAATTAATTTAAAGTGCTAAGCGTCACGAACAATTTTGAGGAAATTCGATTTTACACCATGTTGCAAATGTAATATCTCTGCGAATACTTCATTGATCAAAACGATTTTTTCACCAGATAATTAAGTAATCAAATCATTAAAAGTTTTGTCTAAAATATACAAAATGGCGGATTTGTAAGTTAGCTTAATTCAGCTTTAAAATGTTGAAGCTGAAATTTTGATATGAAGGAAATAGTTTAGGAACTATCTTTCTTTACAAAAAAGGTTACATATGTAATTTTCTTTAAGTTTGTGAGAGAAAATTTTCAATTCTACTATAATTAACCAAGTTATGATGAGTTTTACAAAACTAGTCATAAGTCATTGCTGTGTTATTCGTCTACTGATTTTTTCATTTCAAACTATAGAATTCAACAATGTTTATCATATTGCAAAAGAAATATTACTTTTTGTTCAAGACAAGCAGAGAAAATTAAATTATAGTAAAAAATTTGACCAAAAATTTTGTAACGGTTTTTAAAATTATAAATTTGTGAGCAAATAAGAGCAAAATTTGTTGCTCAACTTAAATTTCATTGTTTTTATAGTTAATTTAACTTACTTTTAAGCCTTTTTCGAATGTAAATCAAATAGTAAAAGACTCTTTAGATATCAAGTAATTGTTCTTGACCGATTAAGGTTAATAGTTTTGATTTAATAATACATTTTACATTCAATTTGGTTTTCAGTTAATTTAACTTAAATAACTCATTTTTAATAAAATCTATTTTGATCATATGATAGAAAAAAGCAAGCTCTACAACTTTTGTCAAGCTTCCAAACATTTATCTTGCTTTCTTTTCAAAGAAAAATCGATTTCAAATATTAATTTGTTAATTAAACTTACTTAATAAGTCGCCATTTTGAAAAATGAATGTTAAAAAGAAACTTACTATTATTAGCTATCATGTAGTGAAGGAATCATATTAATTAAGTTATTAAAAGCTGAGAAATCTGAATTTGAATATTTATTCCCTTTTTTTCTGATCTTGCCCATTTAAGTACATAATATAACATAACATAACATAAAATAAATGAATGAAATATTAAAGTGAAGAAAATGATGGAAACCTGTGTAATATGCAAGTGTTTGTACATCTATTTCATCTTTGTAATCTCTTTTGCTATCTGACAAGGCTTGAAAACTGTTGAAAATTGCAATCAATTGAATTAAGTTCATTTTAATAATTGAACAAATTTTTATGAAATTCTAAGTTCAATTTCTTGAGTTTTGTATTGCGGAAAATAATTTAAAATATCTTTTTAAAAATTTGAATTTTGCAATTTTCTGAGTAAATTCCTTTCCTTAATTCTTGATATCAGAGCTCCATGTTGATTTCGAGCTCTGCTGTTTATTAAACACTATGAAAATCTACACATTATAACATCATACAGATAGATCTACATACTATATCTTCAACATCAAACATTTCTTTTAATGATTCATTTTAAAAGTTAATAATCATAATGATTAGACTTTCATATTACGCGTGACAGTTAAAACAGTAAATATAAATAATTTTAATATAAAAACATGCGCAATCATATCAAAGAATCTTAAAACTAATAAAAAAATTGATATTATATAAAAAAATCTTAAATGGAATAAAAATAATATATTAATGAATAAAATAATGTAACTGATTGTAAATGATCTCCAAAATATTATCGAATGAGGATAGGCGCAAATCCAGTGATATTCATTGAATGAAAAACCTATAAAAAATATTAAAATATGATGAATAATAAAAAAATACGTATGAAATGGAACTAGCAGTTAATATGAAATTATAGTTGGAATGGTCTTGTGAGGAAGAAGTTGTTAATTAAGAACATTTTGGGATGATTAAAAAATTAAAGATCTGGAATTTGAAATGTTTTTTAATTTCAATTTTTAAGTTCGGTTTCAAAATTAAAATCTAGTATTTTGGATTTATCTAAAGTTTATTAAAAATTACCTAATGTTATGTTGAATATACCAAATTGATCTAGGTAGTTTTTCAATCCTCTAAAAGAAGATTAAGATTAAGAATTTCTTCCACTAGATCATTCAGCAATTAAAAAATCACATAGAAGGTGACAGTTGAAAGTTATTGTAAAATGAATTAAGCATATGGTTGATTATCGTAAACAAAATTAAACAAAAATAAATTGTGAACAATTGAACTATCAAGAAATTTTAAAAGAATGGAAATAATTAAGCAACACAATAATAGAAAAATTAAATCAACTTATTATTTAGATCTTATTTATTTAATGTGCAATATTTATGTTTACATTTTTTTTGTATCTTATAATTAAAATTAATTAATTTAGTCTCTGAGCATTATGGTAATAATAGTAATTATGAATGTGTATAATTTTCTACAATTTACTTCAAATTTATACTTAAGTTTAATTTAATTTACACACAAACACACATACAAACATAAACGCATGTGGAAATGGAACCTCAAGAATGAATAAAGTTAAAAATTTGTAGCAAATTAATCACAATATCACGAGTCCTATTGAATACATTTTTATGATAATTGTAACATTTTTAGGTGGGCGGAAATTCTGTTAAATATGAGAAAACTCAAAAAATTAAAATTTCAGATGAAGGTTAAATTTGATTTAAAATAGAATTAACTCTTAAAGGTATCAAAAGTCTATCTGATAAAACTCTAAAGTCGATTTATGTCTGCTTGTATATACCCTTTACTAGGTATCAAGAAAAATTTGAATTGACTAAGTCTAGAATAACTTAAAAGCGACTGATATTGTTTCGATAAAAAATGTAAAATTTTAATATAAATTAAATTCTGAAAAACTTTTCCATTTTAGTTGAAACTTCAATAAATTGATATTTAAATAAAAAAATATTTTCAAGTTTCAAGGAAAGGTTAAGAACGAAAAGGAAGAAATAAAGAAAACAATTGTTGCAGAAAAACCAAATCTTGAAGATTTTGAAATGCATGAAAAACGCGTTCATTCTTCCAAGTCTTTCAATTTCAGCCAGAATCACATTATTGATATTGCAGCTATTATTTTCACGAATTGAGATGAGTGAGAGATTAAAGGCTGTACATCATCCAGCAGCATAAATTGCCATCCGAGACCTTCACTGAAGTGCACACACAATTTCATGCAATTGTAGATTTTTTTTTCGCTCATTCGACGATCCATTTAGCGAATATATGGAATAAAACAGAAAACTGGAAAAACTGGAAAAATTAATATGTTTTATCAATATCTTCTGCATGCATTCTTTTATGTTGTAAATACCATATTGCATTACTTCTTTCTTTGCTATGTTTTTTTTTTGTTTCGTTGCGTTTATGCCTCACTCGCATCATCGTCAACGTTGGGATTATTATTATTATGATTATAAAGTTTTTATGTATGTGCGCTATACAGTATCACATTTGGATTCTCAAAGACCCGAAAAGACAGGTTTTATGCATTTCGCGAAGTTTCATTCAAAAATTTTAACTTATTTTAAGTTAAGTTTATGGATGAAAGATTGTGAACCTAGTACTGTTTAGGAATGCATTGCAATATTGTTTTAAATGAAAAGGTAAAGAGTTTGCAAGTGTCCCAATGGTAAATCTCTACCAGATGCGCCTTCTGACCTCAAAAAATGAAAGAGTTTTCCTTCAATCCCCTTTTATTCTCTCCGTTTTCTTCTTAAAACCGCACGTCAATAATCGATTAAGAACTCTATGGATATATGAAGCTCTGCATTAAAATACACAGCACTAGCAACATGCAATTTATGTAATACGTGTGTGCCTCCTTACTTCTTTTTTTTTTACTTTTCATATCGTGATTTCATCAAAACGAAAAAGAGTTGAGAAAAAATTTTTTAAAATGTTGCTCATAACTGCTGTAATAGTAGTTCGCTTTTTATCTATTATTAAATTAACCTAGAAAAAAAATACGTTTCGCTTTTTTTCTCTCGACTTCATACCTACAATTTTGTTATGATCACTTTTTAAATGTAACGTGTGACAAACATTCTCGATTAATTCGTGTGAGAAAAAAAATTTATGCTTCGAGAGTTTATCAAATTTGCTTTATCGGTAATTTAATTAAGTGTCAATAAATGCAGTGGGAATGTAAATTAATATGAGTTATTTATAAACTCATGAATAACTCATTGCAATGAATCTGTGGACGTGAATGAATGGTTTTAATGATTAGACTAGAGATGAATATGCTCATTGAAATATTTGTCATGTGAATGCTGCTTTTTATTAGGTTTTATTTTCATATAAAGTTTGATCAAGTTTTACTAAAGTATAAGATCAGGTCTAATTTAGAGACACAAACGTATTTGGAGATATTTAAATAAATGTTGCTATTGTTTTGATATAGTTTAATAAATCCATAACTTTGAGTTTGAAAATTTCATAATAATTTGACTCGATTGACTACTAAAAACATACGCCGGATATCAGCGCTGCAATATCTTATAAATATATTACTCTTAATGCCTCTAATCATTTTCAATTAAATTAAAAATCATTTTTCCCTTTTTTTCAACTTCTTTATATCTTTCCTTCTCACTCACACAGTCTGTAATGTTTATGAGATTTAAAATTTGCAATTACATGATGCAGAAATGTGAAAAAGAAAAAAAGACTATTGCAGTGGATATAGG